CACCAGGGCAGTTGTGTCTGTGAGATGAAGCCTGCAGAAAGCACCGAGAGCCACCCAGGTTCACCACCAAGTTCACTAGTGAGCCCCTCCCCGTCCATGTGCCCCTGAAAGCTGTGCTCCGAGGGTCCCAGAGGGGAGAATTCCCCTCCCTCCACCCCAAGTGCCCAGACTTGACTGGCTCTTGAAAAAGAATTGAGACACTTTCTTCCTCGGAACTACCGCAGATCCTAGGCATCCACGGGACACAAATGGCCTTGCCCTGGGCGTGTGGGGTGTGATGGGATTAGACAGCAGCACAGGCTCTGCGAGGCCCCCGTGGGGACCTGGGACCCCCGGACAACCCCCGTGGCCTGTTGCCCTTCTTTCTCCCACAGTGCTCAGTGCTCAAAGAGGCGTTAGAGAAGGAGGACGCGCAGAAGGAGCACCGGGAAGCCCAAGAGAAAGAGCTGAAACTCAGCAAATCCGTGAGTTGAACTTCCTCACTCCTGGGCGCCCACCAAAAGGCGTTGACCTTCAGGCTTTGGCGAGAAAACAAACTCTGGGGTTTTATGACGGTTCTGGTTAAGGCCCTCTCCTCCCTCTTTGGTTTGCTGCCTCTACGACATGGGTGGGAAGACCCTGGAAAACACACACTCCCAGCATCCCCTGGGCGTTGGCTCCACCCGCCTCACCTGTTTCTCTTAGAGCTGGGCTGGGGTGGGGGTGGGGACAGGGACAGGAGCCGGCCAGGTGGCCACCACATGCTGCCAAAGGTCCACTGTGGCTCCTGCCCCTGGACCTGTGATGCCCAAACTACTATGTCCCACCGTCTCACTTTTATCATAGTGACACTTTTATCACTATCACCAACCCAAAATCCTTCCTTCAGTAACTTTACAAAATTCATAAAAACAAAACAAAAAGGCATCGTGTGCCTCTACAGAAGGCAACTATTAAAGATGCAGGGAAGGACCACAAAAATGAAAGCGTTCATTTCCTGGCCCCATGGGAGCCTCTCCCACATCCGCAGGCACAGTTTCAGTTCAGGGGATGCACAGCGCCTTCAACACAAGGGGGGACGCGCCCTTCCCCGTGTCGGGAGCGTTCCGCTCTCTGCCCCAGTGGGAGAAAGAAAACTCGCATTGTTTTGTTCTTCCAAACCGTGCCCACTGTGTCTTCCCAACTGCCCTCATTCAAGTTGATCGCAAAAATATACCCCAAGAGGAAACATCCTCATGAGTTGATGGATGTCTTGTACTGTTTCATCCCAGGCTACAAGCTGATTTTCAAACGAAACTAACCGTGTTCGATGTATCACTTGGAAAAAAGTCTACTTTGCTCTACAGACGTAGGCTTTCCCCCCAGGGACGGAGCTTAGCTGGTCCCCGGTTAGGTTTTCGCCTTAATGAACCCGGTGGAACGAGTTCTGGAGATCCAGCCCTTCCTGCCCAGGAGTCGGGCCCAGCGTGCGGTCAGGGAAGCTGACTTTTGTTGCAACTCTTCCAGCAAATCCAAAACCTGGAGAGAGAAATGAGGATGCTCAGGGAGGAGCTGAGGAAGAATACTTCTGACCAGAGCATGATCTCTAAGACGCTTCGAGAAAAGAGCAAGGTATGGCCAGGGCAGCCTCGGCCCAGTCACCCCTCGGGGCCAGGCGCTCCACGCGCACCCTCTCCTTGCAGTGACCCTGTGTGGTCTATCCTGGTATTAACCCCACTTTACAGTTGGGGAACCTGAGGCTCACAGGGGCGAAGGAAGTTTTCAGAGTTCACTCAGGTAAAGTAGCTGCGGCAGAACTTGAATCCAGGTCGGTCTGGCTCCAGAGCTCCTGTGTGCAGCCCCTACCCCAGACTGCCTTCAGGTCTTAACTGTAAAATTATCCAGAATCGGTCCATTAAACCAAGTTTGCCCATGATGTTCAAACTGAAATGCTGTTACTGATAGTTCTGTGTGCGTGTCCCAAGAGTCTTTGAGAGAGCTATGTTGTTGTTTTTTTATTTTTATTTTTTTTATTGCTTAAAGTATTACAAAGGGTATTACATATGTCTCCTTTTTTCCCCCACCCTTGACAATCCCCTAGCCTCCCCCTACCCCCCAGTGTCTTATGTCCATTGGTTATGCTTATATGCATGCATACAAGTCCTTCAGTTGATCTCTTACCCCCCCATGAATGAGTGAGATCATGTGGTATTTTTCCTTCATTGACTGGCTTATTTCACTTAGCATAATGCTCTCCAGTTCCATCCATGCTGTTGCAAATGGTAAGAGTTCCTTCTTTTTTACAGCAGCATAGTATTCCATCGTGTAGATGTACCACAGTTTTCTAATCCATTCATCTACTGATGGGCACTTAGGCTGTTTCCAGATCTTAGCTATGGTGAATTGTGCTGCTATGAACATATGGGTGCATATATCCTTTCTGATTGGTGTTTTTGGTTTCTTGGGATATATTCCTAGAAGTGGGATCACAGGGTCAAATGGGAGTTCCATGTTTTGTTTTTTGAGGAAACTCCATACTGTCTTCCATAGTGGCTGCACCAGTCTGCATTCCCACCAGCAGTGCACGAGTGTTCCTTTTTCTCCACATCCTCTCCAGCACTTGTCGTTTGTTGATTTGTTGATGATAGCCAGTCTGACAGGTGTGAGATGGTACCTCATTGTTGTTTTGATTTGCATCTCTCAGATGATTAGTGACTTTGAGCATGTTTTCATATGTCTCTTGGCTTTCTGAATGTCCTCTTTTGAAAGGTGTCTATTTAGATCCTTTGCCCGAGAGCTATGCTTTTAAAAATCTCATCATGACCGTGGTTTGTAGATTTCTTCTTTTAATATTGCTAACTTTTGCTTCATATATTTTGAGGCCGTGTTACCAGGTGCGTGTACATTTAGAATTTTAATACTTCCCGTTGGAAAGAGCACACCCTTGGATCATCATAGAAACGTCCCTCTTCATGTCTAGCAGTGTTTCTCCCTGAAAGTCTACGTCAGTGGTTCTCAACCTTCTGGCCCTTTAAATACAGTTCCTCATGTTGTGACCCAACCATAAAATTATTTTCGTTGCTGCTTCATAACTGTAATGTTGCTACTGTTATGAATCGTATTGTAAATATCTGATCTGCAGGATGGTCTTAGGCGACCCCTGTGAAAGGGTCGTTCGACCGCCAAAGGGGGTCTCGACCCACAGGTTGAGAACCGCTGGTCTGCGCTGTCACTAATGCAGCTCCATCAGCTACGCGGCCTTTCTGTTGGTTCGGGTTTTCATAGCATATCTTCTTCATAATTTTTCCGTCCATCTTTGTTTTTAAGTTTTTTCTCTCTCTTCTAAATAGCATGACTTTTTATAAAATCCAGTCCCGGTCTTTGTCTGCTAGTCCGTTTATATAAAGTGCAATTGCTGGTTTATTGATTGGGGTTTAACTCTACCCTCTCGCTCAGTGCCAGCTGAGCTATATTTCCGTACTATATTTCCTTTTCTCTCCTTTCTTGGGTTCTTTTGAGTTGATGGTTTTCTATCATTCCATTTTTGTCCCTGTTTGCTTGGAAATGTTTTGCTCTTTAATTATACTTTTAGAATAGTAAGACAATAGCATTACCCCGGACTTACCAAAATCCAATATTAATCGAGTTTCTTACTCTTTTAGCGCTCGTCCCAAAGGCTGCACTATGCATTCTTGATGTAGTGTCAGTTGATGACTATGCCCTTGTCCTTGACAATGCTGGTGGCAGATTCTTTCAGGGGTGTGTGTGTGTGTGTGTGTGTCTGAAAAACGTATGCATAACCTTCATTTTTGACAGAGCACTGAATCCCACGTTGGCAATGATCTTCTTTCAGCACCTTCTAGGTGGCATTAGGTACATCTTTCTAGTGTCTTTTGGTTCCTGGTGTTTCTACTTTGAAGTCTTGGTCAAGCCTAATATCGTACCTTTGTGAAAGCTCTGTTTTTTCTTGGGCTGCTTTTAAGATTCTCTTTTCCCTTGGTTTCCAGCAGTTTGGCGATGCTTTATCTGGGTGTGGGTTTTTTGTGTTTTTTTTTACCTTGTGTGGTGTTCACAGGGCTTCCTGAGCCTTTGGCTTGGTGTTCTGATTTGTTCTGCGCTGGGGGCTACATACCACAAAGGCAGTGAGGAGCTACCGAAGGCCCTAAACAGGACACAGATGCTGTTACCTTTGTGATCAATAATAACGGTGAAAATGACAGCTATAATTTCTCATGTATTAGGCCAAACATTTCATCTCTTTTTAAAAATATTTTTATTGATTTCAGAGAGGGGAAGGAGAGGGAGAGAGAGATAGAAACATCAATGATGAGAGAGAGTCATTGATCGGCTGCCTCCTGCACAGCCCCCATTGGGGATCGAACCCGCACCCCGAGCATGTGCCCTGACCAGGAATCAAACCGTGACCTCCTGGTTCATAGGTTGATGCTCAACCACTGAGCCACGCTGGCTGGGTTCATCTCCTTTCATCCTCACCGCAACTCTATGACCTAGAAATTACCCTCCCCACTTTACGGATGAGGGGGTCAAGGCTGCTAGTCACTAGCACAGTAAGTAGCCCAAAGTCGGTCAGTGGCAAAGCCAAGGTTGGGAGCCAGGTTTGTCTGATACCAATGACGGCGGCACAGCCACCAGCCACGTGTGACTGTTCACATTGAAATTTATCAAAATTAAGGAAAATGTAAAATTCAGTTTCTCAGTCACACCAGCCACATCTCCAGTGCTCTGGCCAGGCATGGCTCACAGCTGCCGTGTTAGCCAACACAAACGCGAGGCCGTCCCATCAGACAGAGCTGCTCTGCAGCTCAGTAACTCTCAGGACCATGAAGAATGTTCTGGAAGGAAATGAAAATGGAGGCGAGGAGGCCGGTTATCACAGGCCAGAGGTTCTCAGCGCCTGGCGGGGCCTTGCACAGGGTGGGAGCAGGGGGAGGAGCGGAGGAGCGGGGGGATGTGAGAGGGACGGGAACACCGGCTTGGAGAACAGTGGGTGTGAGAGAGGGAGAACCCCCAGGCTTGAGGCAGGGGTGGGGCTGTTCATTACGGTGGGGACTCCGGACAAGGGCAGAGTCCGCGGTTGGAGTCCGCTTTGTAGTGGGAGGAGAAGTCTGCTGGCATAGAAGTCAGAGCACGTTTAGACCCAGGAGGGCTGTTTGTGGAGGAAACTAGGCCCAGGGAGCTTGAACGGCTTTTCCAAGTCCACATGGCTGGTGAGAGGCGCTTCCGCTGGACCCCGGGCTCAGACGTGAGCTGTAAAGGGCTCCTCTGGCTCTTTTATTACATCTGCGTGACCCTCCCCCGCCTCAGCTCCCGAATAAACAGCTGTGGAGCCTTTCAGTACAAAACCCTCTCATTTATTTAGCAGAGTTTGCCTCATTTCCTGATAGCGCCAGAGCCCTGGGCTCAGCACGTGCTCCCAAAATGTTCATTGTTCCAAAATGAATTGAGCAGCTGCAGGGTCCCGTGATGGCCAGCAGAGGGCAGCACCGGGCACTCCCAAGCTCCCCTCCAGTTGAGGGGGAGTGAATCTGCTGCTTCTCTGCTGTAAACACCTTCTCTCACAGGCCGTGATCCATTGCTTAGCAAGCCTCCCAGCGTGGGTCCCAGAGCCCTCGTAGGAAGTACTGCCCTAGGATAACCACTGCGAGTCCCCACGATGCCTCTGTGAGGCGGTACTGGTGTCCTCATTCCCATTTGACAGATGAGAACACTGAGTCACAGAGCAGGGAGGTAACTCTCTCAGGGTCCTAGGGCTCGTTAGGGGCTGTGCTGGGATTGGAGTCTGCGGTTAAAAAAAAAAAACACAGAGATGAGCCCAGGATGCAGAGCTTGGCCCTTTCCCCTAGGAGCCGGGTGTACCCCGGGGGCACGCCCGTGACCCCTGCAGCCGCCCCTCCCCCTCTGGGACTCCCCGGGCCATTAGCCCTCCTAGAGGGATTTCCCAGAGTGCATCATGACCACATCAGCAGCAAGTGCCTGCTTTCATCACCCTTTCAGGTTGAAGAGAAGCTTCAGGAGGATTCCAGAAGGAAATTGCTTCAGCTCCAAGAAATGGGGAGCAGAGAGAGCCTCATTAAAGTCAATTTGGAAAGGGCAGTAGGTCAGGTAGGCGTGCGAGCTCCAGAGCCCCTCCGTGGCCCCGTTCCCCAGGGGTTGTCCGCGCCCAGTGGCTGGTGGGAAGAGTGAGGAGGAAGGCGGCTGTGGTCTGCTTCTCCCAGCGACCTCCTGGGCCGCAGCTTCACGTGGCCCCTGCCTCCCCGTGGACGTCCCCAGGGCCATTCCCTGCTGGGAGCCGCCCACTCCCGGAGTTCGCTGTCCCCCGAGACCCTGGCCACAGCCACCCTTCAGTGCCCGCCCCCCATTAACCAGCCGCCCGCTGTTCCCTCTTGGGAAGGGTCTCAGCCTCTTTCTCCCCAGCAGTGCTGCTAGTACTTTCTCCCGGACATTTTCATCCTGACATTCACCACTCCCCTCCCTCCTCTGGGCCCCCAGCAGAGGTCCCGTCAGTGTCCATGAGGAAGTGCCACTTTTCTTAAGAAAGTACAGCTCATGCAGACGGAGACGACCCCAGGCAGGGTGGTGAGCAGGCTGCCCGGCTGGTCTGGGTGCCTGTTCTGCCTGGATGGCCCGTGGCCCCTCCCCTGACACGTGGCACCGCGTGAGGGCCAGAACATGCAAATGAGGCTTCACCAAAGGCTAAGCGAGAGCCAATGGGAAGCCGGGACAGGGGCACTGAGCCTCCGGGATGTGGCCCACCAAGGGCAGCCCACCGGGAGCTCCCCCTCAGGGCCCCTCCTGGCAACCACGGCTCGAGGGCACCCGAGAACGTTTAGAATGCACACGTGTTTGTGCTTTTTTCCCTGGGAGGAAGGGTCCAGCATGCTGCTCCGTGGATTCTCAGAAGGGTCTGTGAACCCCAAAAAAGGTGAAGAACCGCGATCCTAAGGGTCCTTCCATCCCACCCAGCCCAGCCCCAACGCCCTTCCCTTGGGCAGCGTCTGAGCCTGACCCGCAGTGTGGCCGGGCTTCGTCAGAGGCACACAGTTCATAATGATGCTGACTCCCGGGCAGATTTCAAAGCTCCTTCAACAAACCTCACCACCATCACCCCAGGGTCACTTCTCCTGCAGGGACCGACCCCCTAGCGAGGGCAGAGAGCTTGCCCGTCTGGGCTTCCCCCGTGCACCTGGGCTGCCCCTCACCGCTCCTGCACACTGCACGCCCAGCACCCCTATGCGAGGGCATCACCTGAGTCCCTTGCCCAAGTGCCAGGGTCCAGGTTATGACTCCAGGAAGCAGTCACCTGGGAGAGGACCCTGAGAGACACTGAGGTTCCTTCCGGTCTAGACTCAAGCAAGGAGGAGCCCCTCTCTGTCCCCAGACTCCCCCAGCCCAGCCCCTGTCTCCACGTCCTGCTCTCTCTCTCAGATCCACCCTCCCTCAGGCAAGTGATCCAGGACACAGCCCATCGCCCAGGAGAACCTGTCCCTCCACGCTGCGTAGTCCTACAGGGTCCTCTGCTGGCAGTGGGGCCGTCACTCAGGGCCTCTCCACATAGCCTCCTCCTCCTCCGGCAAAAGGGGGCCTGCCCTTGGCTGTGAAGCCAGAGGAGGGCATGGGGCACCAGGCACCCCAGTCGCTGCTGCAGGCCACCGGCCCACAGGAATGTCCTCAGGAGAGTCTCACTCCGCGGCCTGGCTCCCAGAGCTCGGTGGTGCGCAAGGCACACCTGTGTCTCGGGCCTGCTGACCTTCAGGCTGATTCAGTGGCCCTTCCGCCCCTTCAGGACTCTGTCTTAGGGTCTTCCATGGCCAAACACCCAGGCCCAGGGCCACCACGCTGGGAAATTCCCAGATAAACTCGGGCTCCTTTGCCTCTGCCTTCGCATGGAACCTGGGGCCCCTTGAACTTGCAGTTCCGTAAGCCCTGATTTCATGTAACTGTGCTGTTTCATCAACCGTCATCGGGAAGCGCCAGCCCCAAGGAGGCCCTCGAGAGCGGGCTGGACCGAGCAGAGGCCCCTGTCTTGGACAGATGTCTCTGTTCACAGCATTCAGTGAGCGTTCACTGGGTGTCTACTCTGTGCCAGGCCCTGTGCCAGTCGCCGGGGACACAGAGAGGAACACGATACCCAGGGTCTTCGGGGCGCGAAACGGCAGGAGGGAGTGAATCCCTCGGTCCCCAGGCACCCTTGCTGTGACAGTTTCCTGGGGCTGACAGCCTCCATATTTATTTCACAGTCTGGGGCCGGCTTAGCAATCACGGCAGAGCGCTCCCGGCCCCAGGCTCCCCACTGCATAATCGGCAGCAAGTGGCTCTTCTGGGTCAGGCAGGCAGGCCGAGGAAGTAATTAAAACCGGCTGCTCACTTCCTCCTGTGGGCACTGCCCCTTCCAGTGAGCGGCGGAGATCTTAATACCATGGCATGGCCATCCAAGGCGCTCAGGCCCTCCTAACTAACTGATTTCTCCTGGCCCCCACGGCTGGCCGGCTGCAGCTGCCCCCCCTCCCCCCGACTCAGTTGCCTTCTCTTTGTGCTGCAGCTGGAGCATTTCAGGAGCCAGGTCATCAGGGCCACCTACGGGCGAGCCAGGCCGTTCCAGGACAAGCCCGTCACCGACCAACAGGTCCGTCCGCCCTTCGCGCTTCCTTCCCCGGGGACCTGGGACTGCAGACGCTGGGAGCATATGTTCCCGGGTTTTGTTGGTGGCACACATTGTTCACACTGCTGCCACACCATAAAGATTTGTTTAGATTTCATGGGGTTTCCTGGCTTTCCCAGTAAAAGCCAGTGAAACGCCCTTGAAATGTTTCTGTGAACATCAAACCAAATCGCTCAGGGTGATTCTGGTCGCCAGACGCGCGGGGGTAACCCGGGTTAACACCCTCGTTAGCATCGTGAGAAAGGGCTGCCTCACTCAGACAGACAACACTTCCGGTCCCGCCTGTCCCTTCTGGAGAGGGAGAGGTGAGGACAGACTTCTGGCTGCTGGGGGCCTTGTTAGTTGCCGGCGATTCTTCCCCACGCTCTGTGTTGGCCTCCGGGTAAGGGCACGTGGCTCTCGGCCTCAGAACAACCGACCCTCAGCATCAGGTTGTGTTATTAGTTGCTCCTAAACGGCAGAACAATCTAGAACAAGTGAATGGCAACAATACAGGCCTTGGTATCTTCAAAACCGTCTCGGACCCCAGGAAACGCGTCCTGGTGACAGCGCCGATGGCGGCCGCCAGAGCCATCGCTCACGCCTGGCAGGACGGCCCTCGCCACCTGCAGAGACGGGGTGGCGCTCCCAGCTCCCTCCTCCCGGAGCCCCCCTGTGTTTTAAATCTTTTTTTTTTGTCACCAGTTAATAGAGAAGATCATCCAGGTCACGGAGGACAGCGCCAGCTTCCAGCAGAAAAAGTGGAGCCTGCAGAAGGAGAGCCAGCTCAGCCACTCCAAGCAGGAGGCGCTGGCGGACAGCATCGAGAGGCTGCGGGCGGTGCTGGACAGCTGCCAGGTGGCCCTGCCTCCCACAGTGTCCCCTCTGTCGGAACCCGTGCCGCTGGCGCGGGAGCCTGTCCGGCCTCCGTGGAGCAGGTCGGGCAGGGTGCTCTGCTGCTGTGCCACCTCTCCTCTCCTGGGAGAAACACGTCTGAGAGCAGAGGGCAGAGGACCTCAGAGAATGCCCCCCGGCGGGGTGGGGGGGCAGGAAGAGAAGAGATGCCTGCACTCTGAGTACCTCCGTGGGAGGTCTCGGACCCTGTGGGGGGGCAGTAAAAGAGCCCCGTGTTTTCTCCAGAGAAATCAGAGGAACAGGCCTGCCCTTTAGCGGCTCTTCCTTCGGGCCCAGCCACGGAAAGGCTGTTCGTAGCCCTGGTGCCTCACCGGGGTGGGGGGCCTTCTCTCTGCCCAGTGCCATTGGGATACTTATAACATCGTTCCCAGGCCGTACAAAACCACCAACTTAAAAACCAGCCTGCTATGTTTGGTCAAACAATTAACTCACCCCTAGTGCCTTGGTAGGGCCAGGCCAAATGATTTCCCAGGCCCCTGCCATAGCCTGCGGAGGGGGCGGGCCCACGGGATCTGGCCCAGCCCCCGGGGCCCCACTCGGGGGGGAAAAGGCAACTGCCTCTGTGTCTCTGGAAATCAGCTGCTACTATTTGGGGAGTTTGTGCAAATGTTAGCGTGTCAGCTCTTTCAAATCAGGAACCGGCACTTTCTGACCAGCTTATGTGTTGATCTCAGCAGGAATTTTGACGAATAAAAATAGCCAAATTCAGTTCTCATTTCAGCCTATTGTCCTTGGCAATTTGGCTTTGAATTTGAATAGACCCAAGTGGGGTTTCTTTGACCACCAGAAGTCCAGGTTAGAGTGCAAACAAAATAATGCCCCCTTTATATTCCCCATCCCTCCACCCCCCCACAACTCTTCCACCTCCCATCCCCCCACCCCACCCCAACTCT